TTTTTTTAAATCCATGTTATGGTAAGTGTGCACGTAAGTCTTTGTACACTTTCTAAAATCCACACTGTGGTAAGTTCGCACCCTGCAATCATTCTAAAAATCCTGTATGGTAAGAGCTACGCGCGGCAGCCTCGTGCTCTTTCTTGAGTGGTTTAAAACCCGCCTTGGGTACCACTCCGCCTATCTCCCACAGGCTCTTGGTCGTATTCCTATAAAGGAATCTATTCCTGATTCCAAGCCTTGAGCTCTACCCCGGGCCCAGGAGTTCTGGACAGCCATCTTAACGTCCCAGGGGCAACTCCCATGGCTATGGTAGAGTACTTAGTGGTACTTAGTGCTCGCCATGGTTCTGACATGCACTCCCCTCAGCATGGTGGCGTGGGTATACCGTTCCCCATAGCGACCCCTAGAAGACGCAGTTCGAAGTTCCCTTGAAAGGGAACATCTCAGGTTACGTATGTAACCATGGTTCCCTGAGTAGTGAACGAGACACTGCATCCTCTAGGTTTCTTTCCATGCTTCGGACACAAGCTTCAGATGAAGAAGTGGATGATGTGTTCTCCCGGCGCCTATTTATACTATAGTCGCACCGGTAGTGACGTCAACCGAACAACAGGTTGACATGCATGCAAGGTCAAAAAACACTTTCATTGTCTTATAATATGCATTTATTTTTACCTTACTTGCTCAATGATTCGCTCAACGATTCATTTTTCCAAACCCCTCCTTTGTGTGATGCTAATCTGCGGTGATTGGTCCGATTGGTCTCATTTCCATTTCATCATGCCTGTAATGCCTGATAAAGCAGCAGTGCTGCTTTGTGTACAGCATTACTGGGGAAACCGCTATTTTACCGCTCCAAAAGCAGCATCTAGTGGCAAAGAATGAATTAGCATTTTCATTCAACCAATGCGAAAAGACCAACAAATGGGCGGGCAATATGCTAATGTTTCATGTTGACGTCAACATGAAACGGCTTGGGATTCGTTTTAAAAATGACTCTTTTCAGTGAGTCAGAGTCGACTCTTTCTTTTGAGAGACAATAACTTTATACACTGTGCACTTTCAGATTTAAAACTTTGCAGGATGTTTTCATTCACTTAGAGCTGTGTTACACACTGCATGAATTTTCATACACACCCATTTTCAAAAATCCATAATGGGGCACTTTAATATCTTCATGCCTTATAGTCGCATTTATCAGATTAGAGCTGTGTGATAATACAGTCACATTTTGTGATGATACAAACAATCAAGCAGTTGAGATTTACAATATAGTATATATTGCTTTGCGTGAGTGTACTGTATATATATATATATATATATATATATATATAGAGAGAGAGAGAGAGAGGTGTGCAATAATATAGTTACATTTTTGCAACACCATATAAACAATTACCACTGTAACTGCCCTGTCCAATCAGAAGAGGGCACTGTATCTGGTCAGTGTGATGGATGTGTTTTATATGCCCAGTCACTGAGAGTTTGTGTGTCTTTGTGTCCTCTAGTACCTGCTCGTCCCGTTCTGTCCGTGCAGCTGGTTAATGAGACGTCCGCTGCGCTGATCTGGACTCACCAACAATCCTCTAACCCTCTACTGGAGATCCTGGGCTTTCATCTGACCTATGACCTTAAAAACAACTCTCAGTCTGTCTCTCTGGATTTCAGACCTGAGGAGCGTCAACACAACGTGACCGGCCTGCGTCCTGGAGGTGTTTACTCATTCCTCCTGGCCGCTAGAGGGCGCTCTGGTTACAGTGAAGAGGCTCAGGAGCAGCTTTCGGTGCCTGAGTTTCCCCCGAAAGGGTTTCCACAGCTGTCAGAGCACGTCAACGCCACCTGCTGCTCGCTGCAGCTCACCTGGCTTCCTCCGAGCGGCTCGGAACGGAACGCCGGTTTTACCGGATACACGCTCACGTATGAGGAAGCAGGTGGTGGCGTTGAACCGCACACACTGATGGTGCCGGCGGATTTGTCCAGCTACACCATTCATGGGCTGAATCCTGACTGGGCGTACGCTGTGAGGATATCAGCTCATAACCGCGCCGGGTCAGGCCCGTATAGCCCACAGGTGTTGTACCGAACCACGGCCTTCGACACAGGTACACCGCTCAGGTGCTCTCGCCTGCAGTGTTGGGGGTAACCCATTACAAGTAACGCGAGTTACGTAATCAGATTACTTTTTTTAAGTAACTAGTAAAGTAACGCATTACTTTTTCATTTAGAAGGAAATATCTGAGTTACTTTGTCTCCATGTGTTGAGTGACAGCTCTGGTGTTGCCATGGTGACAGAAATCAGGAGTAAGTGCAGAGCGTTGTGTGTGAACATGATCTTACTGTAGTTCTAGACTCAATATCAACATGTGTTTACTCATCTCACTGCACACAAACACATTCAGCGTTCCTCACAATCAATACAAACAGCGAAATGCAAACTCAGAATATTAGACAAACCTGCAATAATTAAATGTTAAATAAAACAAATATAATTTATGTATTTAATCCCATTTTATTAACCAATGACCTTCGATGATCCACTTCAATCATACTAATAATCAGAAATGACACTTGTGTTTTATTTTAGTTATTGCTGAATAGTGTTGAACTTTCTTCTTCTGCGTCATATTCTTCATGAGATGTGTTTGAGCGGCGCCCTCTACTGTACAGACGTGAATTTACATTTCCTTCAGCTTGAGGCGCATTCACTTCACTTTTATTGTGAAAGGGCTTTTACTTACGTTTGTAAAAGAATAACTTTTTTGTAATAAAAACAAACAAGCAAGCCCTGCCCAGATTTCAAAAGTAACATAACACACTACTTTCCATAAAATGTAACTAAGTAACATAATTAGTTACTTTTTTAGGGAGTAACGCAATATTGTAATGCATTACTTTTAAAAGTAGCTTTCCCCAACACTGCTCGCCTGGGTGAGCCACACAGAACTAAACCCCGTGATCCCACCGACACCAACACCACCCGCAACTAACCCCACCCGACCCGTCACAGTGGAGGTGTGTATGTGGGCGACCGCAGGTGATGCTCGGCCGGTCGACGGGAGGCGGTGTCGCAGGTAAGTGCTCAGGCGTCAGTCACAGTCCGTCTGGCAGGACAAGCCTTCGGGTTCACGGTAAGGCTGGAGAGGTTTGTCTTTTCCCTCGTCCTTTTGAGTTCCTTCACTGTCCTTCACAACTACATTTCCCAACACTTCCCAGTCCAGTCTGTGGTGTGGCACAAATTAAGCGAGTGTTTGTTTGTGTGTGATTGAGTTTGTGTCTCACCCCGACTTCCTTCAAAATAACCTTCATTAGCAGCTAGCGAATCTGGGCCAGCTCTCACTGGATCTTCCGCATATGTGTCCCTGCGTATCCATACACTGACCTTCTACATCCCCCACAATTCCCTGCACAGGCCTCGGCGCACGCGGCGGACGTCTGCCTCCTCACAGTCCTGTGTGTGTGTTCCAGTTGCTGCATCACAGAGTCTCACGTGTGTTATGTGTGTGTGTGTTTGGACAGACGTGCCGAGGAATTTCTCTGTGAATCTGGCGACGAAGACGAGCGTGTTGCTGACGTGGGAGTTTCCGGAGAGCAGCGCCCCCTATCGCTTCACTGTGAGTCTCGCAGCAATCCCTGCACGTCTGTGAACACATCAGCATTAGAATCTCTGGCTCTTTGTTCAGTTGTTGCGTTCCAGTAAATCTCTCTAGAATGAGGACGTCCTCTTACTTTCTCAGTAGGAAACACATCAACACAGGAAAGACAACGGCGCTCGTCAAAGCATTTCAATTAAATTGCAATTGATTATGATTGTAGTCAAACAAACATTGATCTCACTGGAACTGTTTTTTAGGTAATATATCTCAATACTGCAACAGCTCAATGAGTGTGCTTTAATTATCAGCATAAATAAGTATATTCATTTCAAGTTTGTTGCAATGCATTCTGAAATTGTCTTATCAGTAAGTGGAACAGAAAAATACTGATGCGTCTTTAATAGGGTGTAATGGTACACGTTTCTGTACTTTTTCAGTACGGGTCTTTCAGTTCGGTACGCATGTGTACACAAATACATTTTAACCACTGCACGACTGGAACTTCATTGGAAAGTTCAAGTCTTATATATTGTTACTTTTAATAAGAAACAAAGTCTCATCTTTTAAATTGTTACTTTTTTTGAGAAATTCAAACAATAAATGCCTTTTTGACGCTCTTTGATACTAGTTTTAACGTGAAATAAACATGAATGAACATTTGATGTAATCGCTCAATCAGTGTTTCATCCGTGAAAAGATGTCAATAAAACAGCATTTCACTTTCCTCAGGCAGGTCATCATCAGTGTCAACAGCCCGTTAGTTTGCTAGAGAAATTAAGTCTAGAGAAGAGCATTTCGCAAAATATTAGACTATATACCACTTATCTATATAATCTAATAATATATCTTTAGTATAGATCAATGCTATATACTCATTATATTTTACTTTACCAGTTAGCGATGTCTTAATTATTTAATGCATGTTTAAATAAATCTGTTATGACAGTTATTTTTGCTTTCATTCTCAGGTGGAGTACAACCGGCAGAAGATGGAGGTGGACGCGCGTCTGAGGAAGGCTGTGATCCCAAACCTGCAGCCGGACACCAGCTACGACTTCAAGATCACCAGCCCTGAGGGGAACATGGGCGGCCTCAGACACCGCATTCACGCCAAGACGTCTCCTCCCATCCTCATCCGCCGGCCCGAGGTGGACCACACGCGAGAGACCGAAGCCATGGTCACCATCATACTGCCCTCGCTGGACACCAGGAGCAGCGTCAGGTGCGAGCAGCGCTTACATGCACACTTCACACCACACGATCTTCACTCCCGACAGGTTTTGTGAAATCACTGACCAGAGACGTGCAGAGAGTTCCTCAGGGGCAGGGGCTCAGATGTAAAACAGATGTGGACCCTGGACCACAAAAACAGTCATAAGGGTCAATTTTTTTTGTTAAATTGATGCATCATATGAAAGCTGAATAAATAAGCTCTCCATTGATGTATGCTTTAGCGCGTCTCGGTCTCCTCGAGCATCTTTCTGCCGCATGCCACAAACATCAGCCACAGCGAATACTCGTCTTCTAAAAGGCTTCATTTAGATTATCTGACGTTAAATGCATCATATAAGTCACTTTGGAATAAATCACAGTAGGCCTATGTATCATGATAAAAAAAAACACTTTACAGTCTGGAAATACTTTAGGCTATAGCAAATTATTTCTTGGACCCCCTATCACTTTAAGAACCGCTCTGCTGCATGATACTGCAGAAGAACTGATGACGGCACGGTTTGATCTGCGGCTGACCAATCAGCAGAAAGGGGCGTTTAATTCCCGCCCACATGTAGAAATCAAATATTCAAGCTGTTTATTCATTTTTCTAGCCCTGAGCGAAAAAGAAAAATTTAAGCTGAATTCTCTTTTTTCAATTTTTGGAAAAAAAAAAAAAAAATGAAAAAGAAGCCGTTTTCTAATTTTTCTACTTTCAATATTAAATAAAAAAACGAATGATCGAATGATACACGGATTCTTACCATTATTATTGCGACTTTCGGTGCTGCACGGTTTTGTGCAGTGCTTTTGTAGTCATTTAGCATCCATTTTCTCAGCAATGTAATTTGATTTATAAGATAAAGATAAAGCGAAGATCCAGATCGCTCCACAAATGTAAGCTTGTCTGTCCATGTAATTTTCAACCGATTTATGAATAAGAATGGGAAATGACCGCTCCACGTCCAATGAAATTTGAACTTCTTGTTCAATTTTTTTGCCCCCGTCTGTCAACCCACACTCACTGAAAGAACCATATATGGCTCGAGAGCCCAGCTTTCCGCACAGACTAGTCACCATAGCAACGCCTCAGATTGACAGATAAACAGGAATTTTCCCGACTTCTGAGCGATTAGTTATTGTTTTGCACACATTGTCATGGTACTTATAATTCAAATGCATTTTGTTTTATTGACTACAATATCATTGCTATTTGTCTGAGGGGCACTTTTGAATAATTTAGAAAAATGGCAGGGGCTTGAGCCCCCAAAGCCAATATCTGCCAATGAGGTAAGAAAAATAATCTTGTTTAACCTTTGAATTAAGATTACTTTTCTTGCTCCATTGGCAGATATTTTTGCTCATTTTAGGCAAAAGCTTTTTGTTTTAGAAAGCAAGACATCTTGCGTCATTTCACCTGTCAAGTAAATGCATCTTGATTCAAGAATGTTCAGATATTTGTACTAGAAAACAACAAAAATGCTAAAAAAGTCAATCATTTTTTGCAGTGTGCCCCAGATAGTCGTGCAGTGTGAACTCTGCGTTACATGCATGCTTTCATCAGACGCACACACTTCCAGCATGCTCAAACACACACCTGAGGACGCACGAATCATGCATGCCGTGCGCACACATACGTGCAGGAATCATCAGCCGCTGCGCTGTGAATAATTCGGAGCCGCAGTCGATTTGTGTTTCTGGCTGCTTCCTGCGGAGGAAGATCACTTCAGCACCCAATGCAACGCTCTAACTGCAGCGCGCACACGTTACAGCACGAGCTCATGAAGATGTGTGATGTGTGAGCCAAGGACATGATGCTTCATCTGTGTGAACCGAACGCAGCGAGAGCGACAGAGCACGTCCTCGCTGACTAAACACACAAATGATTCTCAAGCAGTTCACTCAATGAATCAGTTACACCATTTACTGAGTCACTGAACCACAAGCCATTATTTACCATCGTATCTGAAGAAAAACCCCTGTAGAATAAATATGACAACAGACAATACGCTGCAAAAACAATTCTTACTCAGGCTTTTTGTCTTGTTTTGCAGTACAAACATCCTTTAAATCAAGATACATTCCCTTAAGAAAATTAACCATGGTTTTGCTACACTAACCATACTTTAGCCACAGTAATTGTAGTAAAACTGTTGTTATACATTTACAATTACTCATTTGGCAGACGCTTTTATCCAAAGCTACTTACAATTGAGGAATACAACAAGAGATTCACTGTCGGATGGCAATAAACACGAGAAGTTTCAGTCATCGTTTAAAGAAGCAAAAGCTAGGACAGATCAGTAAACCAGTGAATCCTCCCAGCTAGCAGATGTTTACTCTGAAGGACTTGAGATGCAAAATTGCTTCTGCTATTGTTTTTGTAAAAAAATGTTTATCAAAATTAAGCGAGTTTTTGCTTAAAACAAAAAAAATCTGCCAATGGAGTCAGAAAAACAAACTTATCTTCCCTTTGAATTATTATTGATTTTTTCTTACTGTATTGACAGATATATTTTCTTGTTTTAAGCATGAATTCCCTTCGTTTTGGTCGATTTTCCAGTAAACAAGACTGATTGTCATTTTATTTATCCAGCAAATATATCCTGATTTAAAAATGTTTGGATATTTGGACAAAAATACTGAGTAGGAAAATCAGTTTTTTGCAATATAATAATATAGACAGATAGCTTTTTGCTTCCATTAAAAGTGCTAAAAGAATCGTTAACGAGTCGTTGAATTCACACGCCTCACATTTAGTATATATTTGCATTTATGCATTTGGCAGATGCTTTAATTTTTTTTCCCTGCAGGAACATCTATGTGGTGGTGGTCCCTCTGAAGAGAGCCAGAGGAGTGATCCGGCATCTGAAGAGCCCAGACGAGATGGACCTGGAGGAGGTAGAACTAATTTAACATCTCTCTGATTATTATTATTGCTATGTGTGAGATCTGATGCAGATCTACAGGATCTGTGATTGCTCAAAAAAGAATTTGACCAATTGGGATCTTTTCACATCTCCCTGAAAACTGACCGTTGGCAGATAATTTAAGGACTGGGAGAAAACAAGCTGTTCGCAGTCCATTATGATTATGAATAATTATCGTTCCATACTTCAGGTCTCGGTCGCCATATTGTGAAATATGCGTATGGGGCAAGAAAAATAATCTTGTTTAGCCTTTGAATTAAGATCATTTTTCTTAATTTCTTAATCTTGATTTTTTTTCTTAATTTCAGAAAACAAAACATAATATCTTAAGTCATTTTACCTGTGAAGTAAATGCCTCTTGATTCAAGAATTTTTAGATATTTGTGCTAAAAAACGAGACAAAAATACTAAGGAAGAACATCATTTTTTGCAGTGTAGTTCTGTTGGCTGTTTGTACTGCTGTGAGTGCTGAGCGGTCAGTGACGCCGCTGATGAAATACAGTCTCAGCAGCGTTTCCGCTCTTTCTGCTGGATGTGGAACATTGTATGAAAATCCTGAGCTTTGTCTTTCTTCTGTTGGAGGTCGAGCAGGTGAATGAGAGCGTGAGAGAGTGTGAACATACACGCACACACACACTTGCACGCGCACACACACACACACACACACACACACAC